CACATATTAACTATTGAAATTATATCATTAATTTGAGGTCTGTATTCACCAAGCAGAATGTAAGTTCATGAAGGCAGAGACCATTTCTCTTGCTTCCAGTAGAGCCTCAGCTATTAAGACTAGTGTCTCTCATGTAATAAACAGGCACAGAAATATTTGTTTAATTAATTTGTAACCAATGCTACCATCATATATATTTTTGATTGCCTACTCATCATCCCTCGCCTCCCTTCTTCCTAACAGAACTGAGATTTCACTTTTCAACCTTCTGCCTTCAGCTAATCTACATCTGGACAAGCTGGACCAAGGCCAGCTTCAAACAGTGGGTCCCCGTGGCAGGTGAGCAAGGAATGGACATGCAGCCCAATGGAAGTCAATGAGACTTGATGAGGGACTTGGCAGAGATTTCTGAGAAAGTTTTTAATCACTTTTATATAAGAGTTTCAAGGACAAATTTCTCTTTGTTTCCTTGATCATTGTCATGGCACTTGCAAGGTAGATGAGTGACAAGGAACTCCTTCATTTAATCAGGAGTGTTTGTATGATTTAGCAGATACTATTTCTTCACAGTGAAGATTGAAAAACTGGATTTTCATGGGAGTTTAAATTTATTGTAGTGTTATTTTGTGTAGCCTCTAGGATCCTCTGATTCAGAGAAGCAAAGGTTGATCTTACGTAGAAGGCCATCCTACATGCACAGACAAAACCAGGCAAATCAAACCATTAAAAAATTACATAATTACTTTTTATTTATGTAAACAGTGTTTCATATTCTGTTCTGCAAAACCTTAATGAGTTTATTTACAATCTTTCGATTTCCCATTTTTATTAGCAGATAAGCTACTAAATATACTATTTAAGGGTCATAAATAAATGGTTTTGACTGCCATGGTATACCAGAAATAAATATGATATTCTCCAGAATTTCTAAGCCAACTTTTGAATCTAAAAGTCAGCATTAATGGGGGAACGTTTAGATGCCAAGAGGCCTGATATCTGAAAACTAAACATGATATAAATGTTAGTAAAATAAATTAGAACTGAAGGAAGGATATAATTTGAAAAGTAAACATGAGTTTAATCTTAAATGGGGAACTAAGCATTTAACATTGAAATAGAGAAAAACACATATGATGAATAATATAAAAAAGGCTGGGCAAACTATATGAGAATATTTTTTGTTTATATAATGCTCCTTTCCCATTAAAAAGTTCTGTGCTTTATTTGTTCTCACTAAAATATGATATATAGAATATTTACTAATAAGTACATATAATTTTGAATAATGATGATAGTAGCTAACATTTATGGAGTAATTGCTGTGTGCCAGCCATTGTTGTTCTAGGGTTTTACGTACATTAACTCAACTTAATATTCTTAATCCTAGAAACAGAGGAAATTATGAGGCAAGGAATAGTGGCTCGGCAGCTCAAAGGGGATGGACAATAATTTGAACCAAACTGTCAGGCTCCAAAGTCTACCTGTGCAACCAAATTGTGTGAAACCTATGGCTGATTTGTAAACAAAATGTTTAACAAAGTGTATTTTCAGCTAAGTAAGATGAGTATAAATGCGTCTTTGGATACAATCCCCTTACCATCTATCAGGCCAAGTTCAGCGAACACTGAATTAATCATTACCTTTCTCCTGATGCAGAAGCTGACTTAGTGTGAATATTCATTGAACATGGGTAAGTTACAAATAGTAAACAAAATACAGTTGTCATTGATGTTATTTATTCTTAATTGAGTTGACTAAAAACACAGATGTCAATTCTGCATGGTGGGGGGTGTTCAATTAAAATAGCATAAAATGGTCAGGTGCAGTGGCTCACACCTGTAATCCCAGCACTTTGGTAGGCCGAGACGGGCGGATCACGAGGTCAGGAGATCAAGACCATCCTGGCTAACGTAGCGAAACCTTGTCTCTACTAAAAATACAAAAAATTAGCCGGGCATGATGGCAGGCGCCTTAGTCCAGCTACTCTGGAGGCTGAGGCAGGAGAATGGCATGAACCCGGGAGGCGGAGCCGAGTGAGCCGAGATCGCGCCACTGCACTCCAACCTGGGCGACAGTGGGAGACTCCGTCTCAAAAAAATAAAAATAAATAAATAAATAGCATAAAATGACTCTGAGACTCTTGAAAACAATTTTCAGAGTTTCTTAGCCCCTGTTAATATTCTACTTAGTCCACAAAATTGCCTTGACATTCTTTTTGACGTTTTCAGTGATTTTTATTAGACTAAGAAAGGCTAATATGACTGTGGCTTGCATACCCAGAAGTCTGCACCACGAAAATGATTTCTAATGGGTACCAAATTAGATTGAATTTTAACAGAAGGAGTTGACCTCATATAATGCAATCAGAGGGACACATCATCTCTGTGATATTCTTTCCCCAATCTTATAACCCCAAGCTAATCATGAGAAAACAGCAGACAAGCCCAAACTGAGGAAAATTCTAAAAAATACTGGACCCCAACTCTTTGAAAGTATCAAGGTCATGAAAGATGAGGAAAGACAGATAAATTATCACAGATTAGAGGAGACTAAGGAAATATGACTGAATAGAATGAGGTAACCTGAAGTAGATCTAGGAAAATAAAAAGGACATCAGTGGAGAAATATACAAAATCTGAATAAAGTCTGTAGCTTAGTTAATGGTTTTATAATAGTGTATAGTCTGTAATTATAGTAATATTAATTTAATTGTTTTGATAAATGTGCATGGTTATATGAGGTGGCAACAATAGGGGATGCTGATGAAGGTTTTGCAATACTATCTTTGTAACATTTCTGTAAATCTCATTATTTAAAAACAAACATTGAAATGGGTGTGTGTGTGTGTGTGTATATATGTGTGTGTGTGTATATATATATATATAATCCCTCTCCCACCAAAGGGAGAGGTTAAGGCAATCTTTACATGAAGGAGCAAAATGACTTCTATGACTTGGCTCACACATAGTGGTAGGTATTGAAGTAATCCCTGTTACAGTGGTTAAGATGACCCTTCCCTTGTCATACGATCAAAAGTCAGCATTGGCAGGCTTATGTGTTTGGCTCAGACAATCCATTTGATGATCTGATTTATTGTCTAGCTTATTATGGAAATCATATAGGCATGGTCAGAGTGTAAATGTCACTACTACAGGGTTCTAACGATTGATTTAAGTCCTAAGCACATGTATAATTGTATATGACTCAGCAAAGCAGGTTGCTCCGAGAAATAAACTTAGGGAATGCATTTTATGTGCTGTTCCTATTTGTGCTTCATTTAAATGACAATGATTTAATTATTTTGTTGTTGTTCTTAGGGATTTAATAGTACTACTTTGGATCCTCCATAAAGTAGCTGTAAAATCAGATATATCAGTTTGTATGATTTAATACAAATTGACCCATATCCGTTTGCATGGGTAATACCAAAATACATAACTATCTTTTTTCTTTTTTCAACAAGTCACCACCGAACTGCATACTTGTGCTAAATTACCTTAACTTCCTTCTACTCCCATCCCTGTCCTATCCATATCTATGTTCTTTCAAGAAATCATTTGGTAAGAGTAAACTATGCATACAATCTTCATCTTTGATTTTGATTTTATTATTTGTTTTACTTATATGTATTTTCTTGTTCTAATACTCAAAAATAAATAAAAACATTGCCTAACCACTTAATAGTATAAAAAGTAAAAATACAATATTAAACATTTATATAAGGGAATGATGATTCAATTTCCAAATCCCATCAACTTCTCATTTCTGAAATGCTGTCGCTGAGAGGCTGTTTCCTGCATTATTGTTAAGTGACCCTTTTTGCTTCGTGCTTAGTCACAATTTACATCTCTTTTCTGAAAATGGCATAAAATAATGTGCAAATGCTTTAATGCATTTCCAAGAAAAATATTTTCTTTTAATGACTCCTAATGAACCCCTGTTTTATGCAGGGTGTGAAAAGTTGCCAAGATGTGTAAAACAATTAGGATAACAAAAAGCATGAGTTTTAAAAAACCATTTCACTTGTGTAGTGTGTGTGAAAATCCAGAATAATTCCTAAGGGAAAAATTAATTTTAATAAGCTTTTCTTCTTGCTTAAAGACTGTTTAAATCAAAGGCACAGAGTACTATGTATTAATATATCAGGAATAATATGAGAGTTTGATTCTGAAGAAAAAAATTCTATTTCATCATCAACCTGTTACTCTATACTTGAACTATGGGGACAAATGTTTTTTATTAAAGTAACTGTGTTTTGTCTCCTAGAAGCACAATATTCAGGTAAAAAACTAAAAAGGTGAAATCTTAAATAATCTTTCTTGATGTGAATTTATTTATCAGAGAACATTGTTTCTGCTATAAGCATAATGATAGTTAAAATCTATTCTTTGGAAATTCTACCTTCATTGATTAAGGGATGGTCACATTTTAAAAGGATTTTGATTTTGAGCCTTTAAATATAAATAAAATATCCCATGCCAACTTAATGACCCAATTCCAGGTAAACGTTATTGATTTTAAAAGTTAAAAATATTTCAGAAGGTGTAATACATGAACTTTTCAGGAAATGGTTATTTGTGAATCCAAACATAGCTAAGAGGAAATTTTCATATGATTTTAAATAGTTAAATGCCAAGGATATAGTACAGCATCTAAGGTGGAAGGGTCTGCATGCAGATATCTAGAATATTTGTTTTTACTGGATATATCATTTCTAACAGTCTTCTTCTTTATCTTTTCTTCTACATTTGACTTCCAAAAGTACCAAATGATGAATACAATTTTCACAATGAATTGATGAATGTGAAACATTTGAGGCAAAATAAAAGAGAGTGTTTCAATAATATCACAGTTATTGAAATCTGGTGCAGAGTGGGAGAACAGACTAAGATTCATTAAGAATTTATGCTTTACTGTGGGGCTTAATACGTAGGTGATGGGTTGATAGGTGCAGCAAACTACCATGGCACACATTTACCTATATAACAAACCTGCATGTCTTGCACATGTATCCTGGAACTTAAAATTAAATTAAATTAAATTAAATTAAAAAGAAAAAGAAAAGAATTTATGTTTTAGAATCAGACTTATTTGGGTTATAGTCCTGACTCAGTCATTTATTAATCCTGGACTTTTGCTAAATAACTTATCCTCACTTTCATCAACTCTAGATGTGGAATAATAATAAATAGTCTCTACTTCATTGCATCCTTTTGTGATTACATAATATACTTTGGCAGTTAGTTAAAACTGTGTCTTTATAGTGGCTATGAAATGGTTAAGTCTCAAGAGCTTAAGACGCTGGGCGACGGGGATTTTCGTGTTGTTATATAATGAGAAAAGCACCGTAGCAGTCATGAAATGAAGAAATCTGATCTCCTCTTGCCTCTCAAATAGAATGTTCTCATCCTACCAGAAGGCATACCATACAGTTTTTGCCAGTGTGGCAGGGCTTCGGAGTGAACACAGGATAGTGTTCCCCTCAGCAGCAGGTAGGGGTGGGGAAGTGTGTTGTGGGGACAAAATGCCTGGAATGGGGCATGAAGGGCTACTGAAACTCTCCTGATGTTCTGCTGCTTAATCCTGATGATGGTTAACTAAGTGTGCTCACATTATGAAAATTCATTGAGCTACACATTTATAATTAGTGCACTTTTCTGTGTGTATGCTACACTTCAGTAAAATGTTTAAGGTTTGCGCTCCCCAACTATCCATTCTCCTTGCACGCTTTGCTCTTCCATTCTTGTCACACTTTATTTACCATCTATTTTCCCCACTAGCATAAACGTTCTACATAATCTATAGTGATTTTCCTGTTTGTTATGTTCACGGTTGTAGTTCTAGCACCTGAAAAAAAAAAAAAATCTCTGGCACATAGTAGGAACTTCAAACATAGGTATAAATAAATCAATGAATAAATAAATAAATAAGAAAAAACACTGGCTACAGGTTGAGTGATGTTATAGAGAAAAAGAGAAAGATGTAAAGCAGATATTCAGGGTAAGAGCATTGGTTTAACATTAATTGACAGAGAATTAAGAGATGTATTTGCATAGCTACTTAACAATGTTTCGGTCTAAATATTATTTTTTTCCTTCATTTACCTAAAAGAAGAAAGAGAATTTTATATGATGGACAAATCCATATACTGAATATAACTTAGTAAGTGGAAAAACATCCTTTTAAGGACAAGTTTTGGCAGTTGTGGGTAGCACACTTGCTTAAGATTAACTTCTGCTCCTGCAAACAGTTGCCCAAATGCGCATGATATGTTTCTGGTCAGTTTCAGTTTCTAGCCAATTACATCACAGGGCAAGACCTAGATTGAAAAACACAACATTGGAATTAAGTGTTTTTAGGCCTCTTTAACATAGCTGAACCCTCTTGCTTAATGAAAGTATTTAAAAATTTTAATCACTTATCATCAAGCCTAAAATTTCCAAATTGTTTTTGTGTTTAAATATTGAAAATTCTTATGCATGTGGACTGATAAAGTGTGGATCTATGGGCAATAGCAAGAGAGGAGAAAGCATGAAAAATGGAGATTAAACATGGGATGTGTCAAGATAATGAGAGCATAATGGTCAAATATGAACAGAGAGGACACATAAGAAAATGAATATCCACTTAATAAAGTGAATATGATGAATTTATTTACTTTGGCTTACATTCTTTTTGAGAAATTACTTTATCAAAGAACTTCCTTAGTAATTAACATTAATAATTACATATTATATAATATTCAAGACAAATTCACTGAAAACAGAAACTAAAATATTTTATTAATAAATTTGAAAATATAAACATCATTATAATATAGTCCTTTATTGCATTCTAAAGTAGCTAAAAAATAACATTCAGAAGTACCTCCTAGAAAACACTGTACTAATTGCCTTCATGCACTTATTATTTTATAATTTTATAACTGTTATTTTATATATCAGTGTTCACCCTTACTGCAACACTATCTGGTAAATTTTATCATATCTATCTGAGAGGAGGAAAGGGGACTATTGGAGAGTTAATGACCACCCACGGTCACAAAGACTCGAAGTGGCACAAGTAAGATTTCAATCTGTGACAGATGGTCTGTAATCTTAACTTCCCTTACAATACTGTTCTGAAACAGAAATCATATACACTAATTCAAAACAATATTCTAGAGCTTCAGTGTGACCTGGCTCAAAACTTTTTCTTGCATTCAACACACAAGGAAAACACAAGAGCACTTTTAACTAAAAGTGAAGAATTTAAAGCAATGGAGAAAATTAAAAACAAATAACTATATTTGTACTCTTATGCTAATAAATTTAAATTGCAATATAATACATGATTTTTGAAAAATATGTTATATAAATTATCAAAATTGAATAAAACAGACTTCTGCTTTCCACCAATGTATGCAAGCAGCTTAAGTTCCCACACTGTCCTAACAACAGTAAAAAACTGAACAGATTGAGAAATCAACACTCTTCTTGGATCTGTAAGAGAGGTAAGTACACAGGGCAAACTACTGCCCACGAGACTGGAGAGACAGACAGGCCAATATAGGGAGACATGGCTTCCAGGTGCAGAGTCTCATGAGTGGAGACCAGCAGGAACCAGTGCTGCGGTAGGAATATCTGAATTGGAATTGACAAATTGCTGGAGGCTCAGTGTGGAAAAGTCTGAGAATTAAAAACTACGCTGGACCCAGTCACAGAGGAGAACCTACAATTTTATGAGTTTTATCTCAACCAGAATATCAATCAGGTTCTCATAGGAAAATATTGGAGAAACATCCCCTCATGTTTTAAGCAAGATGAGGATCTATTTTGAAACACACCAGAGCACTCTGTATTCTTTTTTCTTTTCTTTTCTTTTTTCTTTCTTTTCTTTTCTTTGCCTCCCTTTCTTTCTTTTTTTTTTTTTTCAAGGCCTACCCTCAGGAGAAACTAGTTAACTAGGACCTAATATGCTGGTGTATTATCAGCTCCTAACTGATCTGGGGAAAGAAAAATACCCAATGTCAACCCATTGTATCCTTTCTGTTTCATCTAGGTTAGAGAAGAATTGAAAAACACTTGCGATTTTCACAGTCCAGAGGCACAAGCTCACTAAAGACTGAGACCCAATCACAGAACTATAGGTATTCCCGCTGCCCCAACGTGCCTCCACATTACTAAAGACCTACTTACAGCAGTTCCTTTTATGTGGTACATCATGTACAACTAAATGCAAAAAATACAAGATATACTAAAGGACAAAAAACACAGGTTTTTGTGAGATAGAGCAAGCATGAGAACCATATGTGTCAGGGATGTTGAAATTGTCCAACCAGGAATTTAAAATAACTATGATTAATATGCTAGGGCGCTAATGGATAAAGTAGACAGCATGCAAGAACAGATGTGCAATGTAACTAAGGAGAAGAAATTCTAAGAAAGCACCAAGAAGACATTCTAGAGATCAAAATCATGTAACAGAAATGAAGAATGCCTTTGATGGACTTATTAGTAGCATGATTGCACAGAGTTGAGGAGAGACTCTCTGAACTTGGGGATGTATCTATAACAACCTTCAAAACTGAAAAGGCAAGAGAACACAGACCGAAAAAGCCAGAACAGAATAGCCAAGTGCTGTAGGGCAACTTTAAAAGATATCATATATGCATAATGGGAATAGCAGCAGGATAAGAAAGAGAGACGGGAACAGAAGAAATATTTTAAGTAATACTGACTGAAATATTCTCCAAATTAATGTCAGACATGAAACCACAGATTTAGGAGACTCAGAGAACACCAGGCAGGATAAATTCCAAAAAGACAACATCTAGACATACCATTTTCAAACCACACAAAATCAAACATAAAAAAAAATCCTGAAAAAAAAAGCCAGAGGAAATAAACACTTTACCTATAGAGGAACAAAGGTAGGTATTACATCCAACTTCTCAGAAACCATGCAAGGAAGAAGAGAGTAGAGTGAAATATTTAAAGCACTGAGCAAAAAAAGCTCATTAACCCAGAATTTTGTACCCTGAAATTTTATTTTTCAAAGTGAGAGAGAAATGAAGACTTTCTCAGACAAATAAAAATTGAGGGATTTTGTTGCCAGTAGACGTGTCTTATAAAATGGTTAAAGTTCTTCAGAGAGAAGGAAAGCGATACAGATAAAAACTCAGATCTATATAAACAAAGAATGAGCATCAGAAAAGGAATAAATGAAGGTAAAACAAAATATTTGGTTTTTCTTATTCTTAATTGATCTGGCAGATAATTTTCTTGAAATAATAACAACAATGTATGTGTTTAGGTATGCCCATATATATGTCTTGTGTGTGTTTATATGTGTGTGTATGTGTGTGTGCTGCTTATGTATGCCTATATGTAAGTCAAATAGATGGACAACAAACATATGAGGGATGGGAGGGAGGAATTAGAATTATTTTTTATTAACAGCTACTTACACCACCTATTAAGAGGTATAGTGTTATATTTAATGTGAACGTGGGTTAGTTGTAAATGTATTGCAAACTCTAGGGCAACCACTGAAACAATAAAGTATAACTGATAGATAAAAAGAAGAAAAAATTGAATCACAAAATGCTTAATTGAAGCCTCATGAAGCAGAAAAAGAGCAGAGGACCAAAACAGAAACAAAGAACAAGGGAAGCAAATGGAAACAGTAAAAAATGTAACACATATTAATCAAACTACATCAAGAATTGCTTTGAACATCACTGTTCTAAATGTGCCAATTAAAAGACAGATTTTTCAGAGTGTACCAAAAAACATAACCCAAATGTATGTGTATTAGTCCACTTTCACACTGCTATAAATAACTTCCGAGTAATTTAGAAAGGAAAGAGGTTTAATTGACTCACAGTTCCATATGACTGGGAAGGCCTCAGGAAACTTACAATCATGGTGGAAGGGGAAGCAGGTACTTTCTTCGCAAGGCAGCAGGAGAGAGAGCTTGTGAAAGAGGAACTGTCAAACACTTGCAAAACCATCACATCTCACGAGAACTCACTCACTATCAGAGAACAGCGTGGGTAAACTGCCCCCATGATCCAGGTGTCTCCCTCCCCTTAATATGTGGGGATTGCAATTCAAGATGAGACTTGGGCAGGGACACAGAGCCAAACTGTATCAGTATGTTATACATAAAATTGAATAAAGAATTCAAATAGTCAATAACTGTGGGAAAAATATAGTGTCAAAGAATGTACTGATATTAATATAGTTTGAATGTAAATTTTATTGCACTATACAATTAGTTTTAATTATGTTTAGATGACTTAGTAGACAGATGTATCTGGAGTCATAATCTTTAGCCTATGGGAAAAATCTGACTCATTGCTTGTATCTATAAATAACATTTTATTTTAACATAGTCATGCTCACTCATTTATGAATTTCCCCTGCAGCTTTTATGCCACAATGGTAGAATTGGATAGTTTCAACAGAGACCATGTAGCCCATAAAGTCTACAATATTTCCTATTTGTCTTTTTAGAGAAAAGTTTTCTTGGCCTCTGAGCCATATCATTTACAAGTAATAATAAAATATGCAGCATGATATATAATAAAATATATAAAAAATATGAATGACACTAATGTTTAGCAATAGGGAAATTTCAAATAATATGGTAAATCTGAACAATGAAAATTGACATAGTTGTTAAAATAATGTTTCCCAGAAACTGTTTATGTTATATATCTAAAAATCTAAGTGAAAAAGAGGATACAAAACTATACCAGTCATTTTCAGTGGAGAGGTGGTAGTGAACTGCTTTAAGGCAAAAAGTTTTATTAGGGGAAACATAGCCAATGCATAATTTTAAACTGTTTTGTACTGTTCATAGAGTAACATAGTTGTAAAATGTATAAATAAAAATTAAAATAATTACAAAAAGCAAATCACTAGTATAATGGGAAAATTTAACATGTTTCCGTCTATAACCATTAAATTAACAGAATAAAATAATGAAACAGATTTCAGCAACAAAATTAACAAGTATAATGCAATAGACATACACAGAACCATGGATCCAACAATCAGAAAGCACAATTTTCTTCCTAAGCAAAAATGTTACACTTATAAAAACTGATCATATAATATGCAATAAATGAACTTCATTAAATTAATAATTGTAAGAATAGCTAAAATAATAGTAAAATTTACTGGGCACTTCCTATATCCAGCCTATTTTCTAAGAATTTGCATTCAAGATCCTCACACTAATCCTATGTTGTAGATCCTAAAATTATCATTTTCTTTACATTATACAATTGAGGTAGAAAGCTTAAGAAACTAACCCAAGATTAATTCTGATAGGCAATCAAGTAGCATATTTGACATTTGGACCTAATTTGAGTCTAGACTTTATGCTGTTTACCACCTATCACCTAAATAGTTATACTAGCACTATTAACACAATTATAATGGTTGTTTAAAATCTGAATAGAGGAATTCAGCTTCTGGGAGGAAAAAGGAGACGTATTTTTCCCTTTTTCTCGGGCTAAGTACAACTAAAGATCCTGGACATTACACATCAAATAAACAAAACACTCTTACAGGTAGAGAAAAGAGGGCAAATCAGCTAGAGACTTTGGGACCCATGTCAAGACAAAGTGGTGAGTTCTTCATGTTTTGTTTTTACTTCATATATCCAAGATTTGGTGCTGAAGAAGCAGACTTGGAACATCAGAAAAAGCAAAAAAACACTGTAAGCAAAAATATTGGTCAACACAACAGACTATCATTTTCCTCTTGGGCTTTCTAAATTGTTTGAATGTTGAAGCAAAAATTATAATAAACTATATTGTATGTTTCTAAATATAGAGAGGAAATATATAATACAATTATATTACAAAACAAAGAGCATAAAGAGATGTAGAGGGAAGTAAGATTTCTATACTTCACTCAGTCTGATAAAATGAAGACACCAGTAGTCTGTGATTATGTATAACTTATCTATATGTAGCTCTATATCTACCAATACCTACAATAATCACTAAAAAAAACCTATACAAAGATACACACCCCAAAAACACTATATATGAATCACAATGGAATCTAATAAAATGTATAAACAATCTACAGGAAGGCAGGAAAAAGAAAACAGAAAACTACAACAACATAAACAAAACAAAAACGACCCAAAATGCATTCATTAGAAAAGGAAAAAGTTTCAAACCAATGAACTGAGTTTTCACCTGAAGACTCGAGAAAAACAAGAGCAAAATGAACCCCAAACAGATGGTAAAGAATAAAATGAAGAGCAGAAATCAATGACATTGAAAATAGAGAAACAACAGGGAATATCAATGAAATAAAAAAGTCTTGCTATTTAAAAAGATTGATACAACTGACAAAACTCTTGTAAGAGTGAAAAAGGAAGAAGACAGAAAATGCCAATATCAGAAAAGAAGTAGGGAATATCACTACAGATACTGCAGACATTGAAAGGCTAATAAGAGAGTACCAAAAACAACTCTTCATACATCGATTTGACAATTTAGACACAATGACTAATTCTTCAAAAATCATAAGCTACCACAGTTCATTCAATTTGAAATAGATAATTTGAATAACACTGTAAATATTAAGGAAATTGAATGTGTAATTAAAATACTCTCTTGAAAGAAATCTCCAAGCCCAGATTGGAGTTCTCCGGACTAGAGACTTTTTCTAAGCTTTAAAGTATTAGTAACAACCATGTACAATTTATTCCAGAAAACAGAGGAGGAAGAAACAATTCCCAATTCATTTCGAGAAGTTAGAATTACCCTGACATCAAACCAAACATAGTACATTAAAAGAAATTATAGGCCAATATATCTCAAAAGATATACAAGTAAAAATGCTCAAGAAATACTAGCAAATAGGATTTAGCAATGTCTAAAAATGATAACCTTGACCAAGAGGAGTTTATTGGGGGGATGCAAAACTGGTTTAACATTAAAACATTAATCAATGTAATCCATGTTAAGAAACTAAAAGAAGAAAACTACTGTAACCATATCAACACATGCAGAAAAACCATTTGACCAAAGCCAACATCCATTCTGGATAAAAACTCTCAGGAAATTAGAACTAGAGGGGAACTTACTCAACTTGATAAAGAGCATCTACGAAAAACCTGCAGCTAACATTGTATTTAATGGTGAAAGACTCTTTCCCCCAAAGGTAGACAACGAAGCAAGGATGTCCTCTCCCATTACTATTATTCAACATAGTGGTAGAATTTCTGTGCCTTATGGCAAGAAAAGGAAATGAAAGGTGCACAGATTAGAAAGGAAGATATAAAATAGTTCCTATTTTCAGGTGACATAATTAAAATCATGTAGAAAATCCCAAGGAATCTAGAAAATTACTAGTAAACAATTCATAAAAACAAAAACAAAACAACAAAATCCTGAGTTCAGCAAGTTCAGCAAAGGATGTAAGACAGCATACAAAAATCAATTATATTTTTACTACTTGCAATGAACATGTGAACACCAAAATTTAAAACATAATGCCACTTACAGTTAGTCAAAAAATGCAATAGGTATAAAACTAACAAAACATATTTAGGACTGTATGCTGAAAACCATACAACACTGATGAAAAAAATAAGTAAATATATAAATAAATGGGAGCTATACATGTTTATGGATTGCAAGACTCCACACCGTAATGATGTCAATTCTCCCCAAATTGATATTTATGTTTAATGTAATTCTTATAAAAATCCCAGCAAGATTTTTTTGTGTGTAAATATAGACAAGATTATTCTAAAATTATTATGGAATGGCAAATGAATTAGCTAAAGCAATTTTGAAAAATAGAATACAGTGGGAGTATTTCAAGACTTATTATATCGCTATAGCAAACAAGATTGTCTAGTATTGGTGAAGGAAGAAACACGTGAATCAATGCAATGGAACAGAGAATCCAAAACTAGACCTATACAAATATGCTCAACTTATTTTTGACAAAAGTGCAAAAGCTATTCAATGAAGATACTTTTTTCAAAAAATGGTGCCATAGCAATTTACAATGCAATCCTGACACTACCCAAATGTAGGTCAAATCAAAGAGATAATGTCACAGTCCTCCACAAAACTCCCCTTACTTCAGACATCAGCAACAAAATCCAGGGCTTCTAGGCTACCTGCAATTCTGACCAACTGGCTACAAATCCATTCAGGGGTTCCCATTAACTCCTCAGGTTTGGTACTTTGCTAGAACAAATCGCAGAACTCAGAAAAGTGCATTTTTTTATTAGAGTTTTATTCTAAAGGATATAATTCAGGACAAGTCAAATGAAGAGACAAATAGGGCAAGGTCTAGGAGAGTCTCATATGTGAAACTTCAGTGCCCTTGGGACATCACTCCTCCTGGCACATGGATGTGTACCACCAACCATGGTGCTCGTGGAGCTTTGGGTGTCTAGAGTTTTTCCTCAAGAATTGATTGATGAATCAATTGATTCATGATTGATTGAATCATTGACCACATGATTGAATTCAATCTCCAGTCCCCCTCCATCCTCGGAGTTTGAAAGGACAGACTAGCGTCACATTACTCAAAGCCTCAATTCCCTAATTGCAGACAGGTATTTCCAGCATGATCAGTTTTCATTCTGAAACTATCCAGGAGCCCACGAGTCACCTTACTAGCATAAACTATTAGGGCCCACCATGAATAGCAGACTCTTATCATTCTGAAAATTCCAAATATTTAGAGAGTACCTTTCAGAAACCAGGGACAAAAGCTAGCCAAATTCCTTATTATACAATACAATATATATTGGAAATACATAGGTAAAAAAATGAACTGCAACATAAATCTCACTTGCTTATACAAAAATTAATTCAAAATAGATTACAGACAAATGTAAATCGTAGCACTATACAATTTTGAGGAAAAAAAATGTGAGAAAAATATTTGAGATCTATGGCTAGGCTGTGAGTTCTTAGACCTGACACCAAAAGCACCAATCATTAAAGAAAAAACTGATAAATTTGGTTTCATTAAATAAAAATATTTACTCTGCAAAAGAACCTGTTAAAAGAACAGAATGACAAGTTACAGGTGGACGAGAATATTTTAAAACCACATACATATTCTGCAAAGAATTTATATCTAGAATAGAGAACTTTAAAAAGTCAATGGTAAAGAAATCCAATTAGAAAAATGAGCAAATTCCATGAAGAAATATTTATCCAAGAGAACATTCAGATTGCAAATAAGCATATGAAAATACATTCAGCATTATCAGCTATAAGAAAAATGCAAATTAAAACCAGAATGAGATATCACCACCTACACATCAGAACAGATAAAACAAAGAATAGTGACAGTAGTAAATACTTGCAGGGATGTGTAGAAACCAGGTAACATCTATATTGCTGGTTGAAATATAAAATGATACAGTTACTCTGGAAAATAGTTTGGCAATTCCTTAAAGAAAATCTGAATATACAACTAACATATTGACCCAATAATTGCACTCGTGAGCATTAACCCCAGATTAATGAAAGTCTGTAGTCACACAACAACCTGTAAATGAATGTTTATAGTAGTTTTGTTCATAATAGCCCCAAACTGGAAACAACCCAGATATCCTTCAACAGTTAAACCAGGGTACATTCATATCATGGGATACTACTCAGCAATACAAAGGAACATATGATGGGGTCAGAGGCGGTGGTTCACACCTGTAATCCCAACGCTTTGGGAGGCAGAGGTGGGCGAATCACAAGGTCAGGAGATCGAGACCATCCCGGCTAACATGGTGAAACCCAGTCTCTACTAAAAATATGAAAACAAAATTAGCCAGGCGTGGTGGCGGGCGCCTGTAGTCCCAGCTACTTGGGAAGCTAAAGCAGGAGAATGGCCTGACCCCAGGAGTCGGAAGTTGCAGTGAGCCAAGATGGCACCACTGTACTCCAGCCTGGGTGACAGAGCGAGACTCTGCTTAAAAAAAAAAAAAAGAAGAAGAAAAAGAAAAAGAAAGGAACACATCATACATACAACAACATGGAAAAATTTCCAGAGCAGTACATCGAGTGAAAAAGCCAGTCCCCTTAATTTATATACTACATGAATCCGCTTATATAACAATCTTGAAATGACGAAAGTGTGGAAATGAAAAAAAAAGGTTCGTGGTTGTCAGGTATTAAGGAGCTTGTGGTATCAGAGTGAAATCGGTATGGCTAGAAAGGAGAAACATGAGAGAACCTTGCAATGATAGAAATGTTTTCTGTCTTGATTGTCTCCATGTCAATATCCTGGTTGTGATATTGTACTATAGTTTGCAAGATGTTACCCCTGGGGAAACTGAGTACATAGTATCTTTTTGTATGATTTCTTATAAGTACAGATGAATCTACAATTATCACAAAATAAAAAGCTTGCATTAACAAATCTAGCTACACAAAAAAAATATACCCACGAAAACAAGAAAACTAACTTCCAAACAAAAACATAAACAAAAACAAATACAAACACAAAAGCTCCTCACATTTTCACTGCTGTGTTGTACCAAATATCAAGAGATAATGCCTATCTTAGACAAACCATCCAAGAATAGAAAAATAAATCCTATCTTAGCCCAGAGCTATGGTTTGAATGTCTGTGTTCCCGCAAAATTTATATGTTGAAATGCTAACCCTCAAGGCAATGGTATTAGGAGGTGGGGCCTTTTGGGGAATGATCAGGTCATGAGAGTGGAGCCCTCATAAGTAGGATTAGAGCCTTTATATATATATAAAAGGTCTGAGGGAGTTTGCCTCTTTCACCATTTTAGGACACAGGGTGAAGGTGCCGTCTATGAACCAGGAAACAGGCCCTCACCAGATGTGAAATCTGTTGATGCTTTGATCCTGGCCTTCCTAGCCTCCAGAACCGTGAGAAATAAATTTATGTCGTTTATACGCCACCCAGTTTATGACATTTTTTTCTTAGCAGCCCTGACACACTAAGACAGTAAGAGTCTGTCATAACTGTTTAACATATATCATATTTTGGATAATTCTGTTGTTTTCAATTCCTACCCTTGCTTGTTGAGGAATAGCACTGTATTCATATATTTATGCACCTCTCCTGATACTTGTAAAAACGAAGTTGAATTTCTGGGTTAAAGATTATGAAAAAATTGGAAATCCTCCTGTTTCTTATTATAAAGTTACTTTTTATAAAAATTATACTAATTTAAAGTATCATTGAAAATGGTGAATTTCTGCCAATATTATTGCAGAACACTTGAGTTACTGAAGGAGACCAAGAAGGAGATTATAATAAGAAAGATTAGGTATTTGGGTATTACTTTAATCTCGGGCTGCATTTATTGGTGGTCTGAATTATTTCAAGGAAAAGCAGATATCGCCTAGGCTCAGAGGTCACCAGCGCAAACTTGTCAGGAGTCAGGCAGTAAGTAACATGTCACATAGGTCTTGCGCAGTATAAATGTACCTAGCACCTCAGAAGGGAATGAGGCAAAATTGGGAATGGAAATTTACTGAAGTCAGACCACTTTTTCTCAATTCTGTTTAGAATTTTTTCAATCACAGAGCTTTCAGGAAATCTCAGATAACCCAGTCCAAACACTTCACACTACAGATAAGGAAACTGAGAGCCAGGAAATTTCAGGGATTATCTAAATTCACAGTTAGGTAATGATACAGCTAAAACTGTAACCCAGGCTGGCTGACTCACAGCGCTAAGAACCTCTTTACCAGATCATGCTTTGGTTTGGTTTTGGCTCTGAGCCGTGAAAATACACAGTCAACCACAAACCAAGAGCATAAAAAGATTTAGATACATTCTAAGTGAAATCGAGTTGTCTACTCCAGTTAATTATTTGCTGTAGAAATTTATTTAATTTTCTTTAAAATGTATTTATATGAGTCTATTCTCTTGGCCTAGTAATACTGAGAGTGGTTGAAGATGGAAGTGACCATGATAGTGGAAGTGACCACATTGGTGAGTCAAAGCCAATGAGTAATTATACAATTTAAAATAGAGGCAACATGTACAATTGACCTTTGTATTAGTCAGGGCTCTCTAGTGGGACAGAATTAATAGGATAGATATAAAGGGAAGTTTATTAAGGAGTATTAACTCACACAATCACAAGATGAGGTCCCACAATAGGCTATCTGCAAGCTGAAAAGCGAGGAAGCCATTCCAAGTCCCAAAGCGAAGAACTTAAAGAACGATGTTGAAGGGCAGGAAGCATCCGGTTTGGGAGAAAGATGTAGGCTCAGAGACTAAGCCAGTCTAATCTCTCCATATTCTTCTGCCTGCTTCTTATTCTGTCTGCACAGGCAGCTGATTAGATTGTGCCCATCCAGATTGAGGGTGGGTCTCCCTTTCCCAGTCTACTGACTCAAATGTTAATCTCCTCTGACAACACCCTCACGATACATCCAGGAAAAATACTTTGCATCCTTCAATCCAATCAAGTTGACACTCAGTATTAACCATCATAACATTGAACAACTCGAGGGTTAAGGGATCTGATCCTCCATGCAGTCAAAAAAACAGCATATAGCTTTTGACTCTCCCAAAACTTAACTACTAATAGATTACTATTGACCAGAAGACTTACTGATAACATTAACCAATTAACATATATTTTGTATGTTATATGTATTATATACTGTGTTCTTTTATTTTTATTTATTTTTATTTTTTTGAGACAGTCTCAACAAAGGTGCCATGAGTGCAGTGGCACAATCACGGCTTACTGCAGCCTGGACCTGCTGGGCTAAAGTGATCCTCCCACCTCAGGCTCCCAAGTAGCTAGGACTATAAGCGCACACCACAATGCCCAGTTAATTTTTATTTTTTTGTAGAGACAGGGTTTCACCATGTTGCCCAGGCTGCTCTCAAACTTCTGGGCCTAAGAGATTCACCTGCCTAGTCCTCCAAACGTGCTGGAATACAGGCATGAGTCATTGTACCTGGCCTATACTGTGTTCTTATAATAAAGTAAACCAGAGAAAAGAAAATATTATTAAGAAAATTACAAAAAAAGAGAAAATATATTTACTACTCATTAAGTGAAAATGGACCATAAACAAACATCATTTTCATGTTGAGTTGGCTGAGGAAGTAGAGGAAGAGAAGGGTTTGATCTTGCTGTGTCAGGGTGGAAGAGGTGCAGGAGGCAGAAGTGGGGGAAGGAGAGGCAGGCACACTTGGTATAACTTTTATTGTAAGAAGTCCACATATAAGTGGACCCATGCAGTTCAAATCCATGTTGTTCAAGCGTCAACTATACTTCTTTCATCAAACACCTGAATTATTACACAAGATTGTCTTCGAGAGCATCATTCCTCTGAGCAATACTAACTTCAATCTAGAGGTAGTTGATGTCTAAAGAAACTAGTATGTGTGTGTGTGCATGTGTGCATATAATTTTTTTCTTCTTGGTGACAGGAATATATTAAAAATAAATACCTAAAAAAGATACAAGTAGAACCTAACAGTGAAATAGGGAACGTTTTGGCAAACTCTTAGCAACTATCGCTTTATCCTGTGGAAAAAGCTCAAGGGTGTTGCAGAGACCTCCAAACTAGTAGGTCAAAGGAACCAACAAGGGAAATGTTAAATTGCTTTGCTCTAACCTGCCCTAAATTATTATTCACCATACCCCACAAGAGATAACAGCTATTAATAAGATTTTTCCATTATTTTCAAAATAGCTTAAATATGTATTCGGCTATGTTTATCAAGCTAAATAAGCTATTTTTTGATGTGTGCAGGGCATAGACACTTAAAAGACACTTAGAAAATATTTTAACTCTTTCAGTAAAATTTAATGATCATACCACAGACTATTTTTTTCAGATTATAAAATGTTCTATGGATGATATCTAAATGGAAGCAGATTAATAATTTAAGATCTAGCTTAGTTTTTGACTATAACATTTAGCCTTTTTGTTTTTAAATAATAGAAAGATGTTAACATTAAAAACTCTCATCTATCTTGTAGCTGCATATCAAATTTATTTAGGCAAACATAGAGCTACAAATTCAGTAAGCTGACAGCTAGACTAAACATCAAATGTTAATTAGGATTGCTAAAATCTTGGAAAATAAAAAATAATCTTTCAGGAAATAAAGATAGCTTATGTGGACATAACTAATTGAGTCTCCATTTTTTACTGGAAAAAAGCTATTTTGTCCCTGATAATAACCAATGACAGACACTTTTTGAGGAGAGCAGGACCTGGAGAGAAAACATTGGGTTCAGGCTTAGTATCAAGTAGTGGGAAGAAAAACTTCAATAAGAAAGATACACCGTTGAAACTAACCTATGGTGAGAGGCCTAGAGGAAAAAATTCTGGTAGTGATCTAAGCCATAAAAGCATTTAAAAATATTTGGAGGCAAGTATGAGCACTGTAGGACTGAGTAGGAAAGGGTAAATGATACAATTTTCAAATATGGAAGATGATGGAATTTTAGATATCATGAGCAGATGCAGTTGCACACACCATTCCTGAATTAATTTAATAAAATCAAAGAAATTGATCAATAGTATTAAATCATGAAATACAGAGGTTATTTTTGCTAATTAAATTATTTGAGTATTTCTTTCTTTTTTTTTCCTTAGGGTCATGCAAATTAACAATGAAATCATCATTAAAAAGGAGAAGAAAAGACCAAACTATCAACTGAACCTGTGAAAAATAAAAAACATGACCAGGGGTTGCAAGAATAGTCATTTATCATGTCAGCTCAATTCTAGCAGTTACATCCATGAAATAGAATGTTAAGGTCACCATTTGACATAGAAGAAATTGGAAACGGTAAGTGAGCGCAAATGTTCAAGAGGTCAGTGCGCATTAGATTTAAACAACCATATGCAGATCACGCGTAGAAGGTGATGTAATAACATCTCCCACGAGGTTACCCTAATAGAGAGAGTCAACCTCAGTTGAGAAGCAAAACTTTGCAGTGATATTTCAGAAACTGTAATGCCAGTTTATCTGCATGAGATCCACTGTGTTATTAGCTACAGTTTTGTTTTGTTTTTTCTTTTTTTTCAGCCCTTTTTGCTGCTGATTTGTGTTAAAGGTTTGTAAGTGGATGTGGGTTCCTTCTGGATCGGCTAATCTCTTGTATGTTGTTGAGTCTAACTGCACAGGTTTCCAAAATGGTGTTATTTTTGAAATGGACATATGTTCTGAATAGGTTGTTTGGGGAAAGCCTATTTCTATCATGCAATTGGTTTAGATTGGAAACACAACATGCATAAATTTTGTAATAACAATATGGATATAAAGTTGGCCCTTGCACAACACGGGTCAGAACTGCAGAGGTCCATTTATACATGATTTTTCTTCAACCAAATGCAGATTAAAAATACAGTATTTCTGGAATGCGAAATCCATATTTACGTAGGGTTGATTTTTTGTATATATGGGTTCTGAGGGCGACTATGAGGCTTGTGCATAACTGGAGTTTGGCATATGTGGGAGTCCTAGAACAAATCACTTGCATATACCAAGCGAGGACTGTATATAGTGAGATTTTAGAGTCTCCGTGGCTTCAGTGAGCTTTCACTTTGAATGTTTCAGATTACTTAATCTTATACATTTTTAAAGCTGGTAATTCACAACGCAGGGAGTTTTAATTCAATTCTTTTCAACAAATGTTGAATGAGTACTTATAGAACCAAGGCTCTGAGTAGGAACTTCAGGGATACAAACAGGAATGAGAAAAAATTTTATTTCATAATGCTCACAATCTTGAGGCAGGGAGATGACATAACACAGAAATACTTAGATCCAGGGTGAAATTATGATATTTGCCTTTCTAGTACTATTTACGTGTTTTATTATTTCCTAATGACTTTTTGGTCTTCATTAAATGCTTTGAAAAAAAATGAAACATTTAAGCAAACATAAGTATTCACGTCTCTGACCAGGGGATATTAATAGAAAATTCAAAATAATGAATAATTGAAGAACTATATATATATTTGGCTCTAGAATTGTCTTTGTTCTTACTTATAAATAGTACTCTCATACCTGTCTCAGGAATACATGAAACTGCAAAACAAAATAGTAAATATTGTTCAAAGCTTGTTTATTATTTTATATGGTAACAAAATTTATATGTTAATTAAAACATTTTTCAGGTTATTATACAATGAGCAAACAAACCAATTTAGAAAGGTCTTAATTTTTAAAGTTTTATTTTGTTTTAAATTGATAAATAATAATTGTATATATTTATAGGGTACAATATGATGTTTCCATACATGTATATGTTGTGGAATGAGTCAAGCTAATTAGCATATTCATCACCTCAAATATAATTTCTTTGTGGTGAGATCATTTAAAATCCTCCCTTTTAGCTATTTTGAAATATACAATACATCATTTAATATTAACTATTGTCACTGTGCTGTGCAATGGGACACCAGAACTTACTCCTCTTACCTAACTGAAACTTGTACCTGTTAACTAATATCTCCCCTTTCTCCAGCCATACCAACTCCAATCTTTCGTAGCCACCATTCTACTTAACCTCTATGAATTTGACTTTTTAGATTCCACATGGGTTCACACTGTATTTGTCTCTCTGTGCCTGGCTTACTTTACTTATAATGGCTTCTAGATTTATCCATGTTGTCAGAAATGAACAAAATTTTATTTTTTTTAAAGACTGAATAGCATTCTATATACTATTAGTATTATAGTATACTATCCTATAATAGTATAGTGTATTGTGTTAGTATTTCATATGGATATATATGTATACACATACCACATTTTAAAAATCCATTCTTCTATGTTGGACACTTAGGTCGTTTCCATATCTTGGCTACTGTGAATAATGCTTCAATGAACATGAGAGTACAGTCATCTCTTTGACATACTTATTTCAATTCCTTTGACTATATACCCTGTAGTAAGATTATTGGATCATATGGTAATTCTATTTTTAGTCTTTTGAGGAACCTCCATACTGTTTTCCACAATGGCTGTATTAATTTACAATACCACTACTGGGAATAAGGATTATTTTTCTTTCACGTCCTCTCCAGCACTTGTTATTTTTCATCTTTTAATAATAGCCATACTAACAGATGTCAAGTGATATCTCATTGTAACTTAATTTGCATTTTTCTGATGATTAGAGATGTTGAGTATTTTCTCATGTATCTGTTGGCCATTTGTATGTCTTTTTATGAGAAATGTTTACTCATGTCTGTATTAGTCTGTTCTCATGCTGCTAATAAAGACATACCCAAGGCAGGGTAATTAATAAAGAAAAAGAAGTTTAATAGGCTCACAGTTCCATGTGGCTGGGGAGGCCTCACAATCATGACAGAAGGTGAAGGAAGAGAAAAAGCACGTCTTACATGTCAGCAGGCAGAGAGAGGTAAGAACCAAGCAAAAACGGTGTCCCCTCATAAAACCATGAGATTTCGTGAGACTTATTCACTATCACAAGAACAGTATGGGGGAAAACTGCCCCCATGATTCAATTATCTCCCACTGGATCCCTCCAACAACACATGGGAATTATGGGAACTACAATTCATGATGAGATTTGGGTGGGGAAACTGCCAAACTATAACAAAGTTCTTTGCCCATTTTTAGATAGGGTTATTTGTTTTCTTGTTATAGAGTAGTTTAAGTTCCTTGTACATTTTGCTTATTAGTCCCTTTACTGATGTATGATCTGTAAATATTTTCTCCCAATCTGTGGGTCATCTCTTGACTTTATCAATTGTGTGTTGTTTTTTTTTTTTGCTGTGGAAAAGCCTTTTAGTTTAATGAAATACCATTTACCTATTTTTACTTTTATTGCCTGTGCTTTTTGGGGTCATATCCAAGCATCATTGCAGTCCAATGTCATGGAGCATTTCCCTTCTGTTTTGCTCTAGTAGTTTTATAGTTTTTAGGCCTTGTGTTTAAATCTATAATCCATTTTTGTGTTGATTCTTGGGTAAGGGTGAGATAAGGGTCTATTTTCATTCTTCTGTATGTGGATATTCAGTTTTTTCAGCACCATTTGTTGAAGAGATTGTCCTTTCCCCATTGTGTGCTCGTGGCACCAGAAAGATCTTAATTTTTATTATTAGTCTAAATGATATATGCCTACTTTAAGAAAAGGATATATCACAGAACACATAAGAGAAAGGATCCTGAAGATGGCCGAATAGGAACAGCTCCAGTCTCCAACTCCCAGCGCGAGCGACACAGAAGACCGGTGATTTCTGCATTTTCAACTGAGGTACTGGGTTCATCTCACTAGGGAGTGCCGGACAATCGGTGCTGGTCAGCTGTTGCAGCTCGACCAGCAAGAGCTGAAGCAGGGCGAGGCATCGCCTCACCTGGGAAGCGCAAGGGGAAAGGGAATCCCTTTTCCTAGCCAGGGGAACTGAGACACACAACACCTGGAAAATCGGGTAACTCCCACCCCAATACTGCGCTTTAAGCAAACAGGCACACCAGAAGATTACATCCCACACCTGGCTGGGAGGGTCCCACGCCCACGGAGCCTCCCTCATTGCTAGCACAGCAGTCTGCCATCTCGCGGCAAGGCAGCAGCGAGGCTGGGGAAGGGGCGCCTGCCATTGCTGAGGCTTAAGTAGGTAAACAAAGCTGCTGGGAAGCTCGAACTGGGTGGAGCTCTCAGCAGCTCAAGGAAACCTGCCTGTCTCTGTAGACTCCACCTCTGGGGACAGGGCACAGATAAACAACAGCAAAAGCAGCAGAAACCTCTGCAGATTTCGGGTATCCCGACTCGGAACGTACGCCTTCAAATAGATCAGAGAAGCCCTATGCTTATGACAAGACCACAGGCCAACTATCATCTGAATCGGGCTAAAACCTGCGGAAAAATTCCTTTGAAAAACTTCGGCAAACAACAGACAGGGAATGCCCCTCTCTCCACCACTTCCTATTCAACATAGTGGTCCTGGACAAGACTTCCTGCTAGGCCAGCGCCAACCGCGCTCAGCGCCGCCCCGTCCCCTCCCACACCGGAGAAAGCAAATCAGGGTAATTCCAGCTTAGCGAAAAGACAACGAAAGTCAAATTGGTCCCTCTTCTGCCAGAATGAGACATTGATTCCGCTATTCACACCATTTACGTAGAAAAACCCATCGTCATCAGCCCCAAAATCCTGCCCCTCGAACGCCTGAATAAGCAACTTCAGCAATACGTCTCAGGACTACGACACAAATTCAAATGTGCAAAAATCACAAGCATTCTTACTACACCTCCAGTCCAACAGACATACAGAGGGAACCCCAAATCATGAAATGAACTCTCCACTTCCATTGCTTCAAGAGAATAAAATACCATCACGGAATGCCAACTTACAAGGGATGGGCCTAAAGGACCCGGCCTCTTCAAGGAGAAGCTACATCAACCCACTGCTGCAGGTCGCAAACTAAAAGAGGAACACAAACAAATGGAAGAACATTCCATGGCTCATAGGATGAGGCAAGAATCAATTATCCGTGAAAATGCCATACTGCCCCAAGGTTATTT